GCAGACCCCTGGTCCTCCAACCCCCACCCCCACTCCAGGTGTTTGTCTATCTTTGTGTTCCTGTGGCAGACGACTAGGCATCCTCCACTCCTGACCCCTGACACCAGGTCTTTGTGTATCTTCTGTGTGTTGTTATTGGAAATAGTGTGATTAACAAACAGCATCTCTCTTCTCTCCCCCCCCCCATTATCATATCCATATTATTTTTGTATTGTTATCCATATTTGCCTGCTGGATCTCCCCACCCCATCCCTATGAACCAAGAAATGCAGAGGGTGGCCATTGGATGCCCCTTTTTCTACCATCTTGTTGAGCCAGTGATGGTGTTTGATGGCCTTAGAGGACCCCTCAGACTCCCTGTATAAGTAACTAGGGTGACTAAGATGCAATCGGGATGGAGAACCCACTTGTTTGGAGTCTGTGTCTCCCCCCCCCATTCTAAATTGCATCTGATTTATTGTTACAAGTAAATAGTGAGACTAAGGAGCCCATTATCTGGCCAATGGGTGTCCCCCCCTTTCTTTTTTCTATAATCCTATTTTCTGATCTGGAACTAGCGCAATCAATGGACACATAGTTCAGTCTTTAGGTTTCCCCCCACTCGTGTTTTTTTTAAATTATGATAAATAACTAATGTGACCAAGAGATGCATGGCTCAGTCACTGGATTATTCTTCCCCCATATTCTAGAATCAGAATACATCTCTTTCATTCTTGCAGATAAGTACCATGATCTAGAGACTTGTATCTTGGCCCCTGGGTGCCCCCCCCTGTTCTTCTATCATCCTGCCAGTAGGAACTATTGTGACCAAGGTTGGTTGGATAGCTCAGTGGTGTAGGTTTCTGCCTGCAGAGGTTGGGAGTTCAATTTTATCTTGGGAGAAGAGCCAGCCTGGGTAGCCTTGGGCAAGCCACACAGTCCCAGAAGAAGGGAAATGGAAACCTCTTCTGAGTACTCAATACCTAGAAAATCCTGAAAAGGGTTGCCAGAAATTGGAATTGACTTGAGGGCATGTGTTTGTTGTTACTGTTGTGACCAAGAACTGCTTTATCTGCCTGCTGGATCTCTTCCACCCCCACCATTGTTTTAACCCCTCATCTGTTTAATTTTTATAAATGGAGTGACCGACAGAAACATAGTCCTGCTGCTTCCCCCCGCCACAAACATACCTCTTTTGTCATCGTATTCTATTGGAACAATCTGGTGTGACCGAGAGATGCCTAGTCCAGCCAGGAGACCCATCTTCCACTCTTGAACGTCTGATCAGCTTTATTATTATAAATAATTAATGTGATTGAGAGATGTGTCATTTCCCCCAATAGATGCTCTTTGTTTCTGTCTTTCTCCTGTGTTTTTATTATTATAAATAATTTGTGGGACCAAGAG